CTAGGCCTGATGTATTAAAAGGATAGGAAGGGAGTGACAGAGGCACCTGCGCTGATATATCAAATGAAGGACAGGGGGGTGGGGGATTTGCCCCGAGACAATGGGAAAATAGACTGAGATTCTATGTAAAAGAGAGTGACATCTGAGTAAAGCCTAGTTCAGACAACACAACTTTGGCTGTTATTTGTCTTTTCAATATTTAAAAAGCCTTGAGCTTGTACCTGTTCCAATAGGCCATCTAGCTGGAGTGGTTCCGAGGCATGTGTGGACCTTGTTGTGAGCTGTCTTAGATGCTTCCACGGTTTATGGACATGTTTGATTTTCTGAGAGCCATAAACAAGATGCACATATGCACTGTATGTCACACTATGACATGGGTCTTGGTTGCAATCTGTTTCAGGCCACCTGATTTTAAAGAATGTCAAATGGTGCAATGAATGCCTAGTGAATCGTGCTGCTACGATGTTGATGCATGTCATCTACTCACGTAATCCATCTATTTTTCTCTCATGTTTTGGAAATGAAGCAAAACAATAAACTAGGTTTGGTCAGAACTCTAACACTTCTATGCAGTGAGCAGGTCATGGGTCAGGATTGAAAACCCATCTGAACTAAGACGAACTGAACGGTTACCTTAAAGAATCTCTACATCGATTATGACCCAACCTGTTATTAAAAGGCCTATGCTAAACCTGTTTCTTGGTTTTGGTCTAGACTTGGTCTACACTTGCAGTGCAGGAATGCCAGCAGGTATATGCAGTGCATTAACAGGCAACTGCCAGTGTATTCTGTGTCATATTTCTTATTGGATGGTCTGCAAATTGCCGTCAGTGGACTTTTTTTAAATCGATGAAGGTTTCACTATGTATCCCACACAACTGACCTTTCACTAAGCCATGCACCGTATACGCAGCTGGCCAATCACAGCACAGTATAGGACTTGCTCTAACTGCGGTCCGACACTTGCAGTCCATTGACTTGTATGCAAAAGGCGTCGTTTCCAAGATTTGCTCAAACACTCTTGTAATATTGACAGTCGCTACCCAGAGAGGTTGAAAGGAGAAGTATGATTAATTACCTTTCCGAAACCTAAAACAAATCCAGGAAAATGTAGGCTGTGGATTGTTCCTAATGTAATGTTAGTTTAGCTAACGCTTACTTACTGAATGTAACGTTAACGTTATATAACCCTACTGTTTTTGCTTTTTAATGATTGTAATAGTGAATAGAGACCTACCCCGCTTTACAGGAATAGTGGTAATCCTTACTATCGTTGTCCTTTGTCTCAATTGTCAGGTTATGCGGTGGTTCACTTTTACTCTGTGATCAATAGGCTTTAGCTTCTATCATTTTTTTTTTTCACGTCAGTTTTACGGTCTGAAAACAACCTTTCTGAGATCGCTTTTTCCCAAAAAATTTGACAGTATTTCTCCAGGGAGTGCAGAAATAGACAGTGGCATCGCTGTGCTAAAAGTCTGCCAGGTCCGACAGTTCGTCGAATTTAGCAACAGTAACTAAGGGGGGCGTGGCATAGTGAAGGGTCAATTGTCAACTTTTGTAAGGGACATAATATAAGGGAGTAATAAGGGACTTTAAGATCAGCTGCATAGTTTGTGCACCACCATACTCTAAACTCAATACAATTCAGTCAGTTGGGGACAGAAAAACTAGTCTGTGAAAATTTAAAACATTCTGCCCAAGCTTTAAGAAGGGGGAAGATGACATGAAGATGGGGGGAAGGGGGAAGATGAAAGAAACTCTTGTGTTGAAAGAGTAAGAGCCAGTGAGCGATTCTACTAATACTGGACGTTATTAACATACTCCCCTTTTCTCAGATCCAACCTACCTCACGTCTCCACACTGCGCAAGAATATTACCCACAACACACATTCTCTCATTTCCACAAATGCACGCTGACACACACACACACACACACACACACACACATCTACAGTACAAAGAACCCATTTCCTTGGAGCGCCTACACAAGCTGGAATATATACAGATCATGTTTCACAGTGCTACAGTATGAGGTAAATACCTCTCTATGTTTGTACCTGATTCTCTCTTTGTCTTGCTCTCAACCACATCCACACCGATGTCTTTATGTTGTGGATTTGTTTTCCATTAAAACACAATTATAGACTAAACATAAATTATAACCAAATTTCACTTGGTAAATAATACTATTATATGAAGTTGATGTCCTACTTTCTAGTTCAAAAAGCCAAAATCAATTCAAATTATTATTTATATTTATGTTATTTACTTTTCAAATGAGTGTATGGTTTAGCCCTCTTCTTTATTTCCAACTACATCTCTACTTACCAGGGGCGCTTCCAGGCTATTGAAACATTGGGGATTAGCCCAGCCCAGAAATCTTTCATGTTTTCACCAGTCAGGTGACAGGTTACAGTTTAAAATATAAAAATATAGTGTAATATAATGTAGTACGGCTCTCAGGCATTTTGCTTTTTCTTCTATAGATGAACTTTTCTCATTTAAATTTCATCCCTGCTGAGTCAACACACATGAAGGCATGACTGAAGTAACCTCTTTAAATGTGCATGTGGCACCTTTTCACCTCCATGAGAAATTAATTCATTTTAATTCAGTTTTAAACTCCTGGACTTTAATAGCTCCTATGTTTCAGCAGATTTTCTGCTCATGTTCAAAACTTTCTGCACATTCAGAATGTCTCCCACATAGGCCTATCTGTGTTCTCTGAAATATGCAAAATAATATTTTGAGACAAAAGTCATAATATTTTAACAAACTCTACTTGCCCCACTCCTGTGCATTAGCCTGTGTTATTGCTCTGCTGTATAGTAGTAGGTTTCCCCCTTTAGACCGTCTGACAGACACAGAGCCCGTCTGGGACTGTACTGGACGAGCGCACTGCTCTTCATCAGAGGTAGAAGACCAAAACTTAAAACACTTGAGATCAAACAGAAATCTTACCACAAATCCACACAAATGTAAACTTCAGCACCTCTGATAAAGTGCAGCTCACAGTCGCTTAAGAGGGATTTAAGCATCCTGGAGCAGAGAGACAGTCAAACAGAGCAAAGTGTCTCTGAGCGAGGATGACAGAGACAGCAGAGAGAGCGACATGTGTCTGTGCCGTGGTCAGGTGTCTCATGTTATTCTCTTGCTACTTTGTGGATGACTGTTAACCGTTTGTGTAGCAAATATACAGACTATAAACTGACCGACAACATTTATATTTAAATACTTTGATTACAATTTTCCTAGGGAAAATTCAGTAGTTACTGACAAGCCCTGAAGCTGTGACCAATGTTCTCTTTCTCTCTCTCTCTCGCCCTCTCTATGTACAGGCAGGCTGAGTAATTCTGGGGGGGTGGGGGGGATCACGTTACGCGAACTTCAAACAAAAATATTATTGCGAGTAGCCTCCATTCTTTGAAGACCTGCGAGACAGGCTGTGTCATAAAGATTAGTGCATATTAACACGAAAAATATTTTTGATGTTGTTGTTGAGTTACATTCAGGGCTACTGCCAGAACAAAAATTACCTGGCAACGCCAATGCTACTTACACACACCAACACCTGCCACACTATTCAGTAGGAAGCTACAGACTCCTGCTGTTAAGTATTCACAAACAGCAGCAACACAGAGTGAGGCCACAGTGGGCCAGAAAAACACAGACAGGATGACCTCCAACAAGGACAAACTTTATCTGGATGTCTCTGTGAGCATCTGTCTGACTGTGTGAGTGTAGTCTGTCTGTGTGTGCACGCAAGTGTCTCCATGTAAGTGTGTGCAAACATGACTGCGTCACAGATACTTTGCGTAACTGGAGGCCAGCCTTCAGACAAACAACTGTGTCTTGTCCCCAGCCTCTTGGATGAAGCCGTTGGCTTTTCTTATCCGACGCAGAAGAACAACTTTCCATAGAAACTTTATTGTCACATCTAAGTTTTCTGGAGCATCTTTCTTAGCCAGAAGAGCAGCTTATTTCAATCTCTTCATGTTTGAATTTTAAAATCAAAAACATGAATGAACATTATAAAACTGTAAAATGTAATGTAAATAATTTTAATGTGCCGAAACATTTGGGTTGCCCTGCTTCATTCTCTAAAGCTGAGCCTGTATTTCCTGGCTTAGTGCAGATTCCCTTCAGTATCATAGAGAAAAATGACAGCAGCTTGAGGGAACAAAGCAATAAGCAAAAATTAACATAAATTCACATGGTAATATATTCAGCATTTGGGCAATGACTTTCCACATAACAGAGGGACATGTTTTTGAAAAAAGTGTTTTGAGAAGAGCAAAGAAAGAATTTGCAAAATTGTGCATAGACACGAGTGTAATGAACAAATATTAGCTGTGATATTTGGGATTTTATGAAGATAAACTATTCCAATCTCTAGAGCCCAATTGTCGAGAGACACACATTATGCCCTGAATTCATTACTGAAATCTCATACAGGCATTCAATACCACCACAAAGTATTCTTCAACTAACAAATGGCCCACAAGTTAATCCAAAATGTCTGTTTTATCAACAATGGCCACCAACGATGATATTGGCACCTGAGACAAGGTTGAAAAGAAATGCAGTAATTTGGTTCCACAATATGCAAGCATACACACACACACACACACACGCCAAGTTCTCCTCCCTACTGTAGTCAGCCCAGCCACTGAGCATGATAACAAATGTAGCAACAGTATTGTGCTGTTCTGTAATTAAATGGGGACGTGGGGTCAAATCTCCCAAAATGTTGGCTGCCATGAGATGAAAAGTAAATTAGATCTCCTCTAAGTGACTTTATAGAAAGAATTACATTCACCGTGTTTATAACTATTATTAAAATAGAAAAACTTTTTATCTTTTAAGCGCCATAATATCGAGGAGTAAAGTGTAATCTCTTACTGCCCATTCTGTGTGGCCTCCTCTGATTCTTTAGCAGACATAATGACTGTGCAGGGTAACACATACACCCACTGAATGAAAAATGGACGTGACAATACCTTTCCAAAGCTCCCTTTCCCAATGGCCCGCAAAATCTGGAAGTGGTCAAAGTTCACTGTGAAGAAAAAGGAGAGGAAGAGAGAAAGGAATACGTCAGCATGAGTTCAGCTATATTTCTTGCCAGGGAACAAGACATGAAGTGCAATCATAAAGTATTAGCTCTGTGACACATTTGCTGTTTTATGGCTCTGAACTCCAGCTCATTTGATTTTAAATTAAACAATGACTGGGAGGAAGTGCTGACTTTAACCATTCATTTGAGGGTGGTTACATCTACATCAGATGTTCAGTGGAGGAATTGCGGTCCATTTTATACAATCCCCTCTTTTATTGGTAAGTAATTAAATAATTGGACAAGTTAACATAAAGACATCACATTGCAATCAATAACCGGCTGAAGTCTATGAACCACACACATCAGCAGACAAATCCCAGATGATGCTCTGCCAAGCCTGTGCTGCAACCATCTTCATTTATTGCTTGATTTCAAGCATTTTTGTTTTTAGTCTAGTTAGCAACACATGCTCAGCTGGACTTACGTCAGGTGACTGACATGGCCAGTCAAGAAACTGGCAGTATTGGACAAAAACAAACATTGTCAGTGCAATTCATTCTCTTGAGGTCTTGGATGTCTGCACAAAATGTCATGCCAATCCATTCAGTCAATGACAGTCGGTGGTGAACCGACCGACCGACATTGCCATGGCTAGAGCCACACTGCTAATGTGGCTAAAAAGTGCTACGAGCCCTAGAATACTCACCCAATACGGATTTGAACACTCTCAGACATTCACCATGCTGAGAGTCAGCACTTCAACCTAATAGTCACAGTTTTATTTGAAATCCAATGTGCTGGAGCACAGAGCCAAAACAATAAAAAACACATTAGTGTCCCAATACATTCTGGCTGTACTGTACATTGGATTGGTACTGTCAAGTTGTAGCTTTTGGAATCAATAGAACATAAAGGTAATTTTCAATTACAATGACCAATGACAACCAGCTTATCTGAACACTTTTGGAAAGAACAACACTGTATTTTGGACAAAGAAAAGTCGTGAATATTGAAGAGCAACGACATTCGATCAGAGTACGATGGTCACAACACGTTCTTCAGTGAATCAACACAGAACCATGTATCACGAAGGGAATTACAATAGTTACAAGAAATAATTCTATTCTGCAATATTTTTTTCTGATAATATTGTTCTGTCTACTCATAACTTAATTAAGGCTCTGTTGAACTAATGACAATTATCAAATGAAGTTATTTTGAAAAAAATCTTCATTGTCTCTTTTGATAACATCAGAACTTATAAAATGACACATAAAACATTCAGTGTGTTTGAAAATGATCAAATTACTTTGAGCTATGTCACAGAAAATTGGACACTTTTAACAAAGCCACAAAAAATTATTATCAAGATCAAGAACTATTGCATGTTTAAATGCAAATGATCAAGAAGAAATAAAAAAGGCCCATGGTCTCTTAATGAAATGCTTTATTTGGAATTCCAACATATCTAGTGGGAACATCAGAGGAGCCTCATTTCAGAACACCCAGCTCACTGCACTGCAATCATTCATCTTACTTTTTTTTGTTACATCAATATGTATAATGGCACAGTTAGATGGTTTGGCTCATTGCCTTCTTCAGTGGATGTGTTCTGCTGATTGATAGAAATGTCCTGTGTGTGGTACAGACTTTAAAGTGGTCATATTGTGCTCATATTCAGGTTCATAATTTAATCAGGGGTTGTACCAGAATAGGTTTACATGGTTTCATTTTTAGAAAAACACCATATTTGTGTCATACTTCACATTGCAGCTGTTTTCGACCTGTGTTTTGACCGATCTGTTTTAGCTACCAAGTGAAGCATTTTACATGTATATGATCTTTGTTGGTGTTGCGCATGCGCAGTACCTAGTTATGGACTACTAGCCAATCAGAAGCAGTGTAGGGCGGGTCCTGACAAGCCGAAAAACACGGCTTTGGTTCAGCTGTACATGTTCCCGAACCAGCTTCGCAACCTAAACTGGAGCAAGAGTTTGAGAGTGGTAAGTTATTAATTTGTAACAAATGTATCTTTCACATGTAACATTTTAAGTGTGCACTTTGTCTACATCACAGTAACTTTCTATCCACTGACTGCCTAAAGTTCGGTAGGGAGGGTGGGTGTGAGGGGAGGCAGGGGGCGAGTGTCTAGTCACTGTGTGTGCTGCAGCTCAGAGTGTTTTTCCACCGGTGTTTTTCAGGGCGTGCCACACTAGCCGCTAGGAGAGGATTATGACACGCTGTTTTTGGGCAGTTCAGAGCAGTGTTTTCTGTGGGAGATGGGAACTCCCTTTGGGGTGGACTTCGGACCTTTTAACTTTGTAAACCTATTACATGCACAAAAAAAGATATATATCACTATAAAGGAAAGGGAAAAAGCCAAAAAGCAGAACATGACCTCTTTAAACTAAGTCCTGGGAGGGAGGGTGGTTGGAGAAGAGTTTCAAAGCCTTATAAAGGAAGTAGCAAAAAAAGGAACCCCTGTATAACATAATGCAACACAACAGCCCTGAAATAAATACTTTTTGATTATATTTTGTTGTTTTGTTGAGACACTGTCAGAGAGGTGTTGATTCAGGCAATCACTTGGGCTGTGCCTGAAATGACTTCCTATTTACTATACAATGCACTATACAGTATTTACCATCTGCAATTGTATTTGAGTGTCCAGATTCTGAGCACATAAATGTATCCACTATATAGTGCTCATACTAATTCCTCCATGGGACAAAAAATAGTGTCCATGGCATGTGCACTACTCTTTGCTAACAATCCCACCATGCAGTGCTCTGCATTTTACCACTGAGTAAAATATTGAATATCTATTATATAGGGAGCAGTGAATGAGTGAATGAGAAAGCGATTTTGGACCCCATGTCTGTACAATGTTAAGACTTATATTGTAAAAGGCTTTTTTGAAAGTGCACTGGTACTGACTTAAGCCAGAGTAATCAGTCACCATCACTTACAGCATGTACTATAATGTGTGAATGTACACATATACAGAATGTACACAAATACAGCTCAGCTCTTGGCAATAGTACGGTAGACTATTTCATTACAGATCTAGATCCAATGTCTCTCAGAGCTTTCACAGTCAGCCCCCTCACACCCCTCTCAGACCACAGCAAAATCACTATCTATATGAAAAGGGCTCAGTCTAAGTCTGGGGCCCCTAGTGCCTGTGAACTGTTTAACAGCACATACCCATACTGATGGACCCCAGACAGCATGGGGGCGTACCAAAAGGCATTGGAAAATCAAAACATACATGATTTAACTCATTTGTTTCTAACTGAAACATTTCCCCAGAATAATTCTGGTGTAAATTCTGCTGTGGACAAAATCAATTCAATATTTCATCATTTGGCTTCATTGTCTAATTTGAAAGCCTCCAAACCAAAACCTCAACAAATGAACAATAACAAATGGTTTGACACTGAATGCAAAACCCTAAGGAAAACTTAAAGGAAATGATCAAATGAAAAGCATAGGGACCCAGATAACCACAACATACGCTGTCAATATGAGGCCACTCTACAATACAATACAATACAAGTACACCCTAAAAACTAAGAAAGAACAACACAGCAAGAACCAGCTCTGTGAAATTGAGGAATCCTTAGAGTCCAACCAATTCTGGGAGAAATGGAACAAACTAAACAAAACCCAGCAGGATGAATTGGCAATCCAAGATGGAAATACTTGGAGTAATCACTTTAGTGAATTATACAGTAATATTACAAAAAATGATGATCAGTACAAGATATTCACGAAACAGAAAACTCTGGAGGCGGTGATAAAAAACAACCAAAACCCTCTAGATTACCCTGTAACAGAACAAGAATTAACAGAAGTCATCCAGTCCCTGAAAGGAAAAAAGGCTTTTGGTATTGATAGAATCCTCAACGAAATAATCAAATACCATAGAATGATCAAAGACCATAAAATCAGATTGGCTATACTAAAACTATTCAATACTATTCTAGTCAGACCTGGGCCCTGACAGTAAACACAGCAAAGACTAAGATAATGATCTTTCAGAAACAATACAGAAATCAGGTTACACACAATTTCTATTTAGACACCACTAAATTACAACACACAAAAAACTACACTTACCTTGGCCTCAACATTACATACACAGGAAACTTCAACATGGCCGTGAAAGATCTGAGGGACAAAGCAAGGAGAGCTTTCTATGCAATAAAAAGAAACATTAAAATATATATTCCAATTGAAATCTGGCTGAAAATTTTCCTATTTGTACTCGAATCAATAATTCTATATGGTAGCAAAATCTGGGGGCCAAAACTTAATAATGAATTTGACAAATGGGACAAAACAATCATAGAATCTTTCCATACTGAGTTCTGTAAGAGCATCCTGCAGGTGCAGAGAAAAACACCAAATAACCTGTGCAGAGCAGAGCTCGGCCAATACCCCTTCTTACTAAAAATACAGAAAAGATCACTTAAATTTTACAATCACTTAAAATCAGTTAACCCCCAGACATATCATCACAAAGCCCTAACATACCAGAAGCTGAAACCAGAGAAGAGTCCCCTCAGCCAGCTGGTCCTGAGGCTCTCTGCAGTAACAAGTCCCCAACAGCCTCAGGACAGCAACACCAACTCAAGCAGACCAAACCAAAATATCAGCAAGCACAAAGAAAAATATATTGAATATTGGAAAGAAACGACCAAAACACAAAGTAAATTACAATGTTATCTGACCCTAAAAAGAGAATTCACACTGGCAAATAACCTGAGTACAATAAAATGCCCCACACTAAGAAAAATGTTGACAACATACAGACTGAGTGAACACAGCCTGGCCATAGCAAAGGGTCGCCACAGACAGAGCTGGCTACCACAAGAGGAGAGACTCTGCTCCCAGTGTGACAGAGGACAGGTAGAGACAGAGCTGCACTTTCTAACCTCATGTCCTAAATATAAAACACAAAGACAAAAACATTTCCCAAATATACCCCGAATTCG